AGGAAAAAAGTACACACCGACCAGGCCTCTAACCACTCCATGGGAGCCTGTGTGGCAGCAGCCGGGAACCCAGAGCCTGTCCCAAAGCCGGCATCTTACAGAGAGACCCACCGGACGCAGCTGAATTCTGAGGCCTGAATGCCTCCGTGGGCCCCAGGGCACCACGGGGACTAATCCTCTTGGCAAACGTGTGGCCAGCCAAACGACCATGCTCGGTTACAGCCCAAGATTGGCTCCCAGAAGAGATGCGATGTCGTCTGGGGCCCACAGGACTAAGAAAGGCACCTTCTACAGATCTTCCCCGGGATGGCCACCACGGAGCAGTTGGCATGGTGACAAAGCAACCACCGCGGCTCGGCAGGTGATGGAAGGGGTGGCCCACTGCACAGAGGAGATGTCTCCCTCCCAGTGGACCAGAGATGGCCATTCCAGACGCCGCCAGCCTGAGCACAGGGACATGAGAGATGGCTTTAGAAGAAAAAGTGTCCATGCTTCCCATGATGTCAGAGGAGCGCCTCCTCATGAAAGAGAAACTCATGTTTCAGAGAATCGCCCATTGGCAGGAAGGACTCTGCCCACAGCAGAGTCCTGGCCCCAGTGTGTGTAGTAGAAGCTTCTGTCCAGAAAGAAGCAAGACACACTCTTTCCATCCATCTCAGTCTAGAAAACCCATGCGTGCTGCTGCTCATGGCACATGGCACCATGAAGGAAAGCCAGAAAGAGGTCAAGAAGACCCTGTCGGTCTTTGAAAACTTCGAGAGGCACTTCTCCCTCGGGTTCCTCAGCAGCTCCTTCATCGAAGGCCTGAGGCAACCCCGGTCAGCTCACTCAGAAGGACTCAGGCTGGGGGGTTGCTGGAGAGCTAGAGATGGCAGATGAGAGGAACGTACCTGAAGCTTCTGAGGAGGAGGCAGGATCCACAGTACCACTGTTCATGGGCCAGTCAGAAGAACCTGAGTCAAATGCAGCAGATGGCATAGAACTATTTGAAGACAGTCAGCTAAACAGCCGCTCCAAAGCAATAGCATCAAAAACCAAAGAGATTGCCCTGTCTGCTTTGGCTCAGTGGATAGAGAATTGGCTTGTGGATTTAAGGGTCCCAGGTTCAATTCTGGTTAAGGGCACATGCCCAGGTTGCAGCTCAATTCCCGGTAGGGGGCATGCAGGAAGCAGGAGGCAGGAGGCGGCCAGTCAATGATTCTCTCTCATCATTGATGCTTCTCTTTTCCTTTCCCTTCTTCTCTAAAATCAAAAAAAAATATGTTTTTTTTTTGTTTTGGTTTGGTTTTTGTTTGTTTGTTTTTGTTTTTTTAAAAAAAAGATGACCTGACTGGTTTGGCTCAGTGGATAGAACGTTGGCCTGTGGACTGAAGGGTCCCAGGTTCGATTCTGGTCAAGGGCATGTACCTTGGTTGCAGGCACATCCCCAGTAAGGCGTGTGCAGGAGGCAACTGATCAATGTTTCTCTCTCATGGATGTTTCTAACTCTATCCCTCTCTCTTCCTCTCTGTAAAAAATCAATAAAATATATTTTTAAAAATTAAATAAGAGAGATTGAACAGGTTTACTGACAAGACTGTGAAACTTTTGGGATGGTTGGAAAAATGCTGATTGGAAAAGATCCTTCATTAGGAAAGTCCATACAGTTTGCATTGAGACAGAATTTACATGAAATAGGTGAGCGGTGTGTGGAAGAATTCAAGCATTTCATTGCAGAGTATGACACCTCTAGTTAAGACTTCGAAGAGCCTTTTTAAAAATTTACTTGCTCAGGCAAAAAAAAAAAAAAATGGTACTAAACTCCCTAACCTCTCCCACCCCCCAGATTGTGTAAATTCTTCAAATATGGATTATTTTTTTTTTGATGAAGAGAAATACTTTATGATGTTGACCACAGCTCCAAGATCAAATAAACATCTAAAATAGTCTTAAGATATTTTAATTAGAATTTTTAAATCTACGTATAAAGACTTCTAATTAATTACTTATCTTTTTCCCCCTCTAAAAAGATGGGTCAAGTGATGTTTCAAGTTTTGGAGAACTGTTTTCTGTACTTATTCATATGCTGTAGTCTTGTGATAGTATGCGATCATTGGTTTGGTCACACTAGTGTAATTTTTAGAGATCACACCACTTAAGCATTTATAAGTTTTTTTGCATATCGTCGTCATTGATACCATGTGAAAATGTTAGAATTCTAAGTTGTGATCTTATTGACTTGTTGCTTGCTTATCTTAGGCTATGTAAGTTTTAATATGTTTAAGTATAAGATCCAAATAAACTGAATACCTTGGTATCTTAGAGAATACTTGCTTTGATTATAAATTCTCAGGGCAGTACCTAGAGCGCTTAAGTCTCTTAAAAGACACCTCACAATAAAATCCTGTTTTCTAAGTAAAGGAACCTAAATTAAGTCTTCTATTAAAATAATCCTGAAATTCTTGTGTGTCTTAAACAACATTATATATAGGTTATTTGAGATGAAGGATGAGGGCCATTTTAAAGCTGAAATTTCTTGTAATTTTTCTAACTGAAAGAGAAAATTTAGAATTTGAGGGAGCAGTAAAGCTTCTTTTCTTTCTTTCTTCCTTCCTTTCTTTCTTTTCTTTTCTTTTCTTTCTTTCTTTCTTTCTTTTTTTTTTTTTTTTTTTTTTTTTTTTTTGCCATTGGCCCATATTCCCTATCTCCAGAAAGAAGACTGATAACATACCCATGATTGAACTATTTACTGATTATACCATGGTTAATCCCCTTGTAGTCTAAAAAGTTGTTTGTTTTGCTGCTTTTCTAAGGGGTTCTTAGCCCTTCAAAAGTGTTCTTGGAAGAAACAAAGCAGAGTAGGTAGTAAGCCTCGCACAACAACCTTTCACCAAGCAGTCTGTGTAAGCCATCCCTCATGAGCTAGCCATCCAAACGACAGGTTAATTAGGAATCTAACTGGGATTATTAGGATATTCCACTCATTTCCTGATCACTTCCAGCTGTCCAGTGGCATTTACAAAAAAAAAAAAAAAAAAAAAAAGAATATTTTGTGGCATTTGTTAGGAAACCTTAAAATTATGTTTGCTATTACTACCCAATGTCATTACCCTCCCATCGTCTTTCCATTTCCAATCTCTTCTCACCTGGATTCTGGTGTCATTTTTAGTGGCCTTTATTGGTACTATCTTAACAGCTACCCAGAGTAGATAAACATTTTGTTAAATATGGAAATAGCAGAATAAGATAATCTTAGCAGATCCTGTAATAGGTGCCTCAAAAAATAGTATGCCATTCCATAAATTTAAAGTAAAATTGAAGGCAACAATGATTTTCTTAGATACGTTTCCTAGATAAGACCACCTTGAATGGTTATTCTTTGCTATTTAGATGTTGTGCATAGCCACAACTCAACCCCACGTGTCATCTCTGGTATTCTTCATTCCTATGAGCAATGATTTTGTTTGTTTACAACCACCTTAGAAAGAATAAAAGTACTGATTTTGTTGTTCCCCTTGGGTTCATTTTCTTTAGTCAGAATGTCACAATTTAAAAACAAAATAAAACAAAAACAAACAAACAAAAAAACAACTTGAAAAACTACCACGGAGGTAAAGGAGTTGTTCACTTTTTGAAATTCATTCAATTATAGGACTTTTACTCACAACTGCCTTTAACTGTAGGTTCAACAGGTAACATTTAAACCTTTAAAGTGGTTTATAATAAGCTTGCCACTAGCATTATTCTGGTGTTAAATCTGTCTGTGTGTTCTTTTTTTAAGCTTTAAAGTTTAATTTTAGGATAGATTAATTCAGATGTCTACCCAAGTGTGTATTTTGCAATTAAATGTTCTTTGTTAAAAACTTTTGTTTGTAAATTATCTATTGTTTTTGAGTATGTCCAATTGAAGTGATAACATTTTCATTATCTTATAAAGCCTTGGTGATCAAAAGGGGAAAGCAGATATTGTGAATCTTTTTTGTGAGTTTTAAAAATGCAAAATAAAGCAACTAGATTTAAATAAAATTAAAAAAACACAACTCCGGGATCCACTCCTCTTACCTTCATTTTCATGGAAATTAAAGTCCCTGAAATTTACTATAACACCCCAGGTCCCCATGGCAATGGCGCTGGAACCAAGATTCGAACCCAGGAAGTGTGACTCCAGAGCCCCCTCTGAACAGCTCCACATGGGGCTGAATCCTCACAACTATCCCACCAGGCGGGTCCTACAACACCCATTAATCAGATGGCAAAACTGAGGGACAGAGGCACTTATCCAAGGTCCAACTGCCTCCAATCAGGGGGAGTCTCTTACCCAAATCCGCCTGTGTTGACCAGGGCTGCCAACCTGCAAACAGAGAAAAGAGGCCATTAGATGTGTTTCCCTAAGTGCCAACTATTCTTTTCTCTTTTAAAATATATTTTTATTGATTTCAAAGAGGAAGGGAGAGAGGAGAGAGATAGAAATACCAATGCTGAGAGAGAATATTTGATCGGCTGCCTTCTTTATACCCCTTACTGGGGATGGAGCCCGCATCCCAGGCATGTGCCCTTGACTGGAATCGAACCCGGGACCCTTCAGTCCACAGTTCAATGCTCTAACCACTAGGCAAAACCAGCTAGGGCCAGTGCCAACGATTTCTGGGGCAAGTGATGAAAGCAAGGGGAGTGCATATCTGACAAGGAAAACTCGGGCTCTTCCTGGGAGCTACCTACATCAGCTCTGAAATCTTACGCTTTGCCAGATCATGTGGAGCTGTCCAGGTAGCCACTCTTGGCACCCCCTCCATCCACTTTACCAGGTGGGAACAGCCATCGCCCAGCTGTTTCCCACCGCCCAGCTGTTTCGCTGGCCTACAAGCAGTGACTGGCAGAGGCAGGGGCACAGTCTGGCCCCCTTGCCTCCCAGCAGGTCAGTCTCCCCGGAGCAACTCGTGGGTCAGAGCTCCCTGTGGGTCAGGCTGTGGCTGAGCCTCCCAGAAAAGCCTTCTGAGTTCCACAGAATATAGCACACTCACCCCAGAAGAGGAGCAGGCTGAGCGTCCACATCGCGCTGCTCCTGTCACTCAGAGAGGAGGCCCTGTCTGCATCCCTAGGCTTTCTGAGGGGATGGGGAGCAGGGGCGGAGCCAGAGTTGCTCAATTACTGCCGACGCCCCGTGGACCTTTTTTTTTGCTGAGTTGCTGCCACTCATGCAGACAGTGTGCAAACCCTCAAATTCTCCTTTCTCAGCAGGGAAGAGAAGTTGGTCTGCTGTCTCTCTTTCTCTCCCCCCCCCTCTCTCTCTCTCTCTCTCTCTCTCTTTCTCTCTCTCTCTTTCTCCTTCCCCTGCTCTTTTTTGCTTTCCAACCATCATCTGTCTCCATTTCTTATGACCTTGTTTTATTGCAGCCGACACTAAATGAGCTTCGATACGTGCCCCCCAAAGAAGGAAGCTCCAAGCTCCAGGGCCTCTTGGCCCCGTTATCACGTACCAGGCAGGCCCTGTGCTAGACGCACTGCTAACAAAATTTAACAACATCAAAGTGTCAACATCGCATTGCAGAGTGTGACTACTCCACTTATTTTACCAAAAAATGAAAAGGGAAGGCTTTGGAGAGGAGATGTCCCACGTCCAAAACTGCTTGAGAACCTGGGCCCTCAAAGGGATTCGAATCTAGAGCCCTCTGCCAAGTTTAGAGATTTGACTCTTTCATCTTCTCTCAGCTCTCCACTGTACCTGATCACATCACTGCCATCACCACCGCTCCTAGCCCCAATCCACACACACATACATACATACACACACACACACACACACACACCACACACACACACACACTCACACACACCACACACATACTCACACACACACCACACACACACACACACACACACCACACATACTCACACACACACACCACACACATACATACACACCACACACACCACACACCACACACCACACACTCACACACACCACACACCACACACCACTCACACACACACTCACATACTCACACACACACACACACACACACACTCATGCACATACAGACACACACATACTCATACACCACACACACTCACACACACAATCTCATTCACATGGAGATCTAGGAATGTCTTCATTAGGGTCGCCCAGCAGCAGACAAGGAGACAAGGATTCTAGTGAAAGTAGTTTCTCAGAAAACTCTGGGGAGTGGCGGAGGGGAGGGGAAGCTAGTGAGACTGGGCAGGGATCCAACCCACAGTGGGTGTTATCAAGCCACATACATGTGACAACCTGAGCTTAACCTCATTGGGTGCCTCGTGTAGGTGGCATAGAGCCCACTCTGCAGAGTTGTCCCAGCTGAGGGGCGAGGGAGCTGGGTATTTATCCACCAGCTGCTGTCATTCTAGGGAGACAGAACAGGCTCCAGAGACAGAGGTCAGTCTCATGTGTGCTGAGGGGTGTGGAGCGACACCAAGAGCATCTGCCAAGAGCTTAAAACGAGGTGCAGGAACTGCCCCAAGTTCCCTGGAAGGAAAGTGCCGCCGGTTCTTGCCTTCTCCCTTTTGTTCTCTGCCAAGCAAAAGACCCATCTCAGAGTTACGGTCACTACAGCAGATGCACAGGAGTTCCCTGTTTGTGCACCCAGGGGTCCTGCCCCCAGAAGCTGCACTTAAGAGCCAGTGTGAACATACGGCAAATTGCACCAAGAAGGAGGATAGACAGAGCTGCCTGATGTCTAAGAGAGGCTCTGAAGGATAAGCGCAGACTCTGCAGCCAGACTGCACACCCCCACGGGCGGGGTTCAAATCCCATCTCCACCATTGGCTACTCATGTGGGGTCCTGGGAAAGTTCTCAATCTCTCTGTGTCTCAGCATTCCCATCTGTAAAATGGGCCTGATGGTAGTAAAGTCTACATCACGGGGCTGGCATGAGCATCCGAGGACTGGATGTGTGCGACACACAGGAAAGGCTCCACGTGTGGGCTATTACATGACGGATTGGTATATCCTGACTCTACAGGATATTCCCAATCGAAACCGATTTGGCCCAATGGATAGAGCGTCGGCTTGTGGACTGAAGGGTCCCAGGTTTGATTTCGGTGAAGGGCATGTGTGTTGGTTCGGGCACATCCCCAGTAGGGGGTGTGCAAGAGACAGCTGATTGATGACTCTCTCTCATCAATGTTTCTAGCTCTCTATCTCTCTCCCTTCCTCTCTGTAAAAAATCAATAAAATATATATATATTTTAAAAAGATATTCCCAAAGTGACCTTGGGTGGGGTGGGGACTTAGCTCTCTGGGCCTTGGTTTCTGCATCTGGAGAATGGGCATAACATAGGCTCTGCTTCCGAGGATCATTGAAGGGGGAACCCAGTCCATGAGGTAAACTGCTGCTGGGGCTTGTGTTTTCATCTACAACCCTGCTCAGTGCATCCAGGAGTGTGGGCCCAGGAGGCAGACAGACCAACTGGGACATTCTAACACATGTCCACAAATGCTTCGATCCTCCCCCCTTGAGTATGCATGAACTTAAGACTTGCTTCTGATCAACAGCATAGGAAGGATGTGACATTATGTAACATCTAAGATTATGGCATTGGGGTTATCTGAGGTCATAAGAGTCCTTGCAGCTTTCCCCTCGCTCTCTCTTTCCAGGATCGCTCGCAGAGTGGCGGGAAGGGGATCCGGTCACCATGTTGAAAAGGCACACAGGCTGTGGGAAAGCCCACGCGTGAGGACTGAGGCCTCCAGACAGCAGCATCCAGCGAAGCTACGGCCACTTTCCTGACCCTCAGAAGCTGTTGACTAAGGAGAACAATGTGGTAACTGTTACACAGCAAGACATAATCATCCAACACACCGCAAGCAATGGTCCCTGCCGGCCAAATGAGGATAATAATGATTTCGTAGGGTTTGAGGCTTAATGCGATACAAGTCATAAAACCCTTCCTGGCACAAATTAAATGCTCAGTAATAGAAGTTATTATTGTCATTATTCGTCTCCACGGTGCTAAGTGATTGTGGCTACTTGCAGGAGAAGCCACCAACGTATGGCACAAATTCATGATGTATGAGCTCAGAGCCCCAAATGGGCCTTTTGGGGCTGGAGTCAAGATGTCAGTGGGGCTGCATTCCTTTTGGAGGCTCTAGGGGAGGATCCATTCTGTGCCTTTTCCAGCTTTTGGAGGTGCCCACATCCCTTGGCTCAAGGCTCCCTCCTTCATCTTCTGAGTCAGCACTCTATCACCTTCCAGCCAATTAAATACTCAAGCTCTCTCTCTCTCTCATTAGATATAGGATAAGATGTCTCAATTAATCTTTGTCACTCTCTTTCTGTCATTCTCTCTCTCCCCCTCAGTTTCCCTCCTAAGAAGACCCTTGTCGTTACATTAGACTCACATGGATAGTCCAGAATAATGTCCCCATCTCAAGCTCCTTGATTTCATCTCCTCTGCCAAGTCCCTTTTGCCTGTCAGGTCACATATTCACAGGCTCTGAGGTTCAGATGTGGACAGCTTGAGGTGGTGGGCTTTTCCTTATCACAAGTGGGGCCTGGGGTCCTGGTGAGTGAGGACACAGATGCCAGTTACCCTTCAAACCCAGAGAAGGTGACCCAGGCTACACAATCTTGGCAGCTGAAACCCTGCAGGGACAAGGGGAGAAGAAGGGGAAGAACAGGCTGGAGGAAACACACAGCTGCTTGCACAGAAGCCTAACCCCCTTGTGACTTTCCCGGCAAAGGGGAAATCTGGGGGCACTCCAGATTGGAGAAGTCAGCCTGGAGGAGCCCCAGAGACAGCGTGTGTCGCATCCTGCGTGAGGGGGAATTCCGGGGCAGCCCCTTCCCAACTTGACCATGTCCCTCGGATGTTCTAAATCCTCCCATGGCTCCCCATTTCCTGGGGATGAAGTCCAGGCTCATGACTACATCAAGACCCTGCCAGGTCTTACACTGGTCCCCTCCTTTTTTAAAAAAAATATATTTTATTGATTTTTGTACAGAGAGGAAGGGCGAGAGAGAGAGAGTTAGAAACATCAATGAGAGAGTGTCATCGATCAGCTGCCTCTTGCACACCCCCTACTGGGGATATGCCCGCAACCAAGGTATAATACATGCCCTTGACCGGAATCGAACCCGGGACCCTTCAGTCCCCAAGCCGACGCTCTAGCCATTGAGCCAAACCGGTCTCGGCCAGAAACCCCCGTTTCATCCTAGGCCAGTGGTTGGCAAACTCATTAGTCAACAGACCCAAATATTAACAGTACAACGACTGAAATTTCTTTTGAGAGCCAAAATTTTTAAACTTAAACTTCTTCTAACGCCACTTCTGCAAAATAGACTTGCCCGGGCCGTGGTATTTTGTGGAAGAGCCACACTCAAGGGGCCAAAGAGCCGCATGTGGCTCGCGAGGCGCAGTTTGCCAACCACGATCCTAGACTAACCAAAGCCCCTCTGTGGGCATGGTTGATGCCCGGTCCAGCCACCTGGAGTACCCATCCCCACAGCCGCAGTGTTCCCGGCTAATGGCCCTCCACTGCCAATAGCAAACGGTCACAAAGGGGAAAGGGGCGATCAACTCCATGGAGTTATACAGGCTCCAGGGCTGCCCGGGGCCTGATTCCTCTATCCTACTCTGCTTCCTTCACTCCTTTCTGCTATGCATCCTCCCTCCATTAACCCTGTGCACAAGAATCCTTATGGAGGGAGGGGTGTGGCCTAAGAACCCCTCCCAGCCATTATACACTTAGCTGTTTCTGAACCCCCAGTCTGACATGGATACTCACCTTAAATCCTGTGCATCTCTCCTATGTAAATACCACCTCCACCAGGAAGCCCTCCTTGGCCCCTCTGCGCTCCTCCCACACTAACACTCCGTATGACCTGTATTTGTTGGAATGTCCGTTTCCTCCCAAAGATTGGGAACATCCTGGGGAGACAGGGGAGGAATTGTGTTGGCTGTTGTATCCTAGAAAATGAAAAAACAAGTGAGGAAGAAGAAAGAAAGAGAAACTGATGAATCTCCTGACCTAACAAGTCTGCATCCAAGAGAGAAGACCCAGGATTTGAGGGGTG